GAATCGCTCTGAGAAGACATCTACTCACTAGCTCGAGGGCTCGGAAGAACTAGGGGATTTCTAGAAAATTCTATCTCCTAGCCTAAGGGCACAAGGCACAACTAACTAGAAGGAGAAGAGCAGGGGGGAACTGACCTTGAGAACTGAGGATTCAACCGAAGGCAAGTTTCTCTCTCTAGAAAATTTTTGCGAGAGCTTCGCTACACTGAAATCGCACAACGGAGAGTGGCCCTGGCCTTGGGGTATTTATAGGCGCCCAGATCCGGGTTTGGGCCCAAAAACCGGGCCTCCGGTCAAAAGGTCATCATTACACGCCGTGTCTTCGCCCAACCGGTGACGCCGCCCACGGGCAGCCAACCATCATGCGCCATGTGTACTCTCCCCCCCCCCCAATGGCTATATCCTGACGTTACATATTCCAACGGCTATATTTCCAACGGCTATATTCTGGGAGCCCCCGGATACACTTACCCAGAGACGCTCCCGGGTTGTGCCCCACACAGTACATAACAGACGCCTTCAGGATCACTCCTTCAGAAGCCCAAGGCTTCATATCAGGACACCCCTCGGGGATCCCCCCTCAGCACTGTAAGGGCCGGGTAGCCCCCGGGGAGTATGCCTCATTGACGGATAGCCTACGGCACACAGGTAATGGGAGCCCTCGGATATCCTCATCACCAACTAATCAACAAACAGGGCACCCCCCGGTAACAACTCGACTGCTACCCGCATTCATTACGCCCTCGATCCCCAGATTGAGGGACTCCCCTTCGGCACCTCCCAGGACATCAACAACAAGCCTCCGGCTAATCAACACATGAGCCCTCAGAATGAGGAGAGCCTTCGGCATTACCATTATTCTCCATTTTGAACCAAGGTTTCACATTTTCGATTCATCGTTTGGGGAATTCGGTGCACTCTTTTTCCCTCATCAGGATTTTTTCCCACAGGGTTTTTCCTAATGAGGTTTTTAACGAGGCATCCCCCCAAAATGAAACGAAAAGCGTCAGCCTTCGGCCCACAACAGCAACGCAACTACTTTACTCCTTTTCACCACTTTGCAAGTGCCTCAAGGAGTGGGGGACTGGAGGACCCCCTCGGGAAAAATCACAAAAATCACAAACATGACCCCTCAAGTCCCGACATGTGGGTAACTGAGGGACTGCCCTCGGCAGAATAAACAAACAGCAAACTACCCACAACTCTACAAACTACAAACGAAACAACGGCAGAGGACAGGCACAATTACTCCTTTTCCCTCAAGTACCTTTCGGCAAAAGGAGTGAGGGACTCCTGATGGAGTATATGGCCCGGGAACCCCCGGCCCACAGACTCCTACTACTCCAAACAAGGCCCAACAGGCCCAGAAGGCCCAACAGGCCCAAATCACAGCGCCCAGAGTACCAAGCAGCCCACAATGCGCACCAGGGGTGCCTTCGGCCCCCTGGCCGAGGGCTCTAACTCCCACAGGAGGGCCAAAACAGGAAAACAAGATGACTGGCGAAAATCACTAGCCCTCGGCACCTGGAGCCCTCGGCACCAAGAGGGTCCTCAGTACTCAGAGCCCTCGGTTAGTCCTCTACAGCCGAGGGCACCTTTCCCGACATGATATCCGCGCCACATGTGTGCAGGTCACCGTACCCTGTACAACGTCCCATCCAACAGCCGCATTAAATGCGGCCACATGCGGTTGCCAACGCCAACCAGTTGAGGTGACCTCTCGGCCAATGGACGCTTGACACGTGTCCCTGTCCGGCATTTATTGCTACTATAAATAGCACCCCATTTCCCCATTTGTAACCACGCTGAAAACGCTCCACACTTTGCAATATACCTTCTCTCTCTATATTTACTTGCTCTGACTTCTCTCTTATCACTCCCCGTAATAACCCCTCGGATAAGCTACCCCCCGGATACACTATCCATCAATATGCTTAATAATTGTTACATATCTAATAAAATAATATTATACAAATTGAAATGTTGCACAATATTATATTGTCTATATTAATCACTATCATAATCACTATTATAAGTATAATGTGTGTGACACTATATAAATGACGAACATTTGTCGGATATTATAAATCAAAAACAAAACATACACAATGAACGTGAGGGACCACACCAAAAACCTCTCAAAAAGATGAAGACCTCATACAAAAAATGAGAACCAAAGCTAAATGACAATATATGGAATGGAAAATGAATCCAAAACAATTGCACCCCTAAGCTCGTTGGGCATCAGATCTCCCCTCCGCCGTGTAAAACCACCCAGCCAGCCCAACTGTGCAATAAGAAGAAGAGAAAATTGCTCTTTGTAAGACTAAATCAATGCAAGTTTACAAAAATAGGACTTGGTCATGTTTTTTCCATCCGTGTGATTTACTGAATTCTATTTCAGGAAATTCTATTTTTTCCTTCCAATTTTACCCTAAAGCAATTCCGCTTAGATATCACGCTAGCTTCACCGAAACTGCTCTCTTCTTCACCAAACCCTTCCATATTTGGCAACCCTGTTTTTTCTTCATCTCAGCCGACTGCAACTTTATCCACCTCCTCCGCCCGCAACTTTATCCACCCCCGCCGCCCGCTACTTTCTCCACCTCCGCCGCCCGCTACTTTCTCCACCTCCGCTGCCCCAAATCTTCCTCCAGCTCCTCCGGCTCTGTTCGTCGCTTCCACCTCTAACGCCACCTTCTTGCAGCGATTCCGGCGAAGACGGAGGTGCAACGATTCCGGCGAAGATGGAAGTGCAACGAAGAAGAGAGATGCAGCGTCCGGTGAAGAAGAGAGCTGCGGCGTCCGACGAAGAAGTGAGAGGTCGGCGAGGAAGCGAAACGGCAGATCCGAAGTTGCAAAGGAAGAAGATGATAGGCGTGAGCTGATACGAAATCCAGATTCCAGAATTAGGGCGGCGGCGCACCAGGCCCTTCTTATTCTCCCCTCCTCCTTGCGGGTCGGAGCATTAAACTGGTTGCTTTCCAGAATTTATTGTTTATTTATTGTCTACTTATTGTCTATTTATTGTCTATTTAATGTCTTTTATTTTCTAAAAGTAAGGGTATTGCGATCAATGCAGGTGTAGTTGAGTCTTACGCTAATCTTGGGTCTTAGTTTTGGAAAATCAGTAGGTTTTGCTCCTACTTGTTGAAATCTCCCATGGCACAAAAATAACTCGTACACTTTTAAAGGACAAGAAAATGACTGATTTGTCATTTTCCAAAAATATGACTCAAAAGATGTCACATTTTTGTCTTTTTCATTCATTTTAGTAATATTGAAATAAAAAGGCCCAATAAAAACTGCTGCCTTATATATGGAATAGATAAAATTTAGTAAATTGAAGATGTGATTATAGTAGAGTGTTTGAAATTATACAACAACAACAACATCCAAGCCTTAGTCCCAAAAGAAGTGTTTGAAATTATAGTACATACATAAATCTGTGTGCCTTATCGTCGGTCAAATAGGCCCTTCTATCCTTTATTGCTCAATTTGCTTCCGAACTCAAAAAAGCTTCAATTGACCCCCTGAACTCGATAAAAAGATTCAAAATTCACTTTTTCCGGTCACAATCCAGTCATCGCCACATCACCAGATAGAGTTCAAACTTCCAATTGTGCATGTGACGTGGCAACTTAAGTGGTCAAATAAGTCCCCAAACCTGATTAAATCATGCAATTCAACCCCTCAACTCTTAAAAAACGTTAAAATTACGAAAAATAGAAATAAAAACAGAAGATAGAAAAAAATAGAATTAAAAATAAGTCAAAAATATAAAATAAAAATATGAAATATTTATATATATTTTTTGGTAAATTCAAAATAAAGAAATAAAATACTCCTTATAACTAAAAGAAATTGATTCTTATATATAATACATAAAAAAGACTTCAATATATTTACAATAAATAATTAATAATATAAATATGTAGTTACTATTTTTATATTTTAATTCTTATATATGAGTAAGTTTTATATTACTATAGATATAAAAAATGTGTAATTAGTAACTTTGAGAAAAAAAATAGTTACATAAAAATTGTATGTTTATTTTTAGTATATTTTGAAATAAATTAAAAAGTATAAAATGAAAAAATTCAAATGGATAATTTAAATATAATGCTTCGTATACATTATCAAACCAAAAACATAAAATGTGTTTTATTACAAACCATTACATTTAATACATGAAATAAAAATTTAAAAATAGTTGGCAAAAATACATTGTTTATTTCTTATATGGAGTATGAAATATACATTGTAGTTATAAAATATGGAAATATAGTTAAAGAATGTTTTAGTTTATGTTTTATTTTTTATTTTGATATTACCGTAAATGATAAATATTTCATATTAATATAATTTTAATTTTTGACATATATTTTCTTTACAAATTTATTTACTATTTGTTACTACCTCTATCTCCCTATTATTGTCTAATTGCGGTTTACGATGTCTAATTGCAAAGTCTCAAAAACTAGAATCAAAATTGATAAAAATTTGATACATAAAATAAGAGATTAAGAGTAATTTGTGTTGACCAAATGAATATGAACTAAGACAATAATAGGGGGCGAAGGGAGTATTAATTATTTATTATTATTTTTTCTTAAAAACTTTGACATTTTTTAGAGTTGAGGGGGTAAAATGGTAAATTGAGCGATTCAGTTGGGCTCAAGGACTTATTTGACTCCTTAAGTTGTCACCCTACCGGGTGACATGACAGTGACCGAATTGAAACCTGCAAAAAGTGAAATTTGAATCTTTTTATCAAGTTCAAAGTGTCAATTCAAGCTTTTTTGAGTTCCGAGGGCAAATTGAACAATTAAATTGAATGTCTATTGCTCCTAAGCCGAAACTAAAATTTAAGGCCTTGGTCTGGTAGCGTGAACCGGGTCCACACCTAGTGGCAAGTAGCAACACAACTCAAGCAATAGATTTAAACATGGACATTGTAATTTTGATTGGGCACATTTGGTATACAATCTTAATACTTTACAAAACTGAATAGATTTATTATGTCCTAAAATCAAAATGTTCTGATATTTCTGTCCATCGGATATTGATGAGTGGTATTTAAAGAAAAAATTCTCAGATAGACTGCTATAAATTACATCTTCAAAAATCATGCTGGTAAAAACGGAGAAATGGCTTTCTGAAAACATTGTAAACAATTCGTTATCACTTTACACGATTTAACAAAACCAGCATGCTTATCTGCACAAAGTTTACGTTTTCATTGGCAATGAAACATTGTTTTATCTACATATATATGAAACATTGTCTTATCGCAAGTGGTTTACTTTGAGTTTGAGATTTCCACGTCTAGAGTGATAAGCTCCCGAACTGTTTATTCCAAGTCTCATACACACCGAGTTCATTCAATGATACTGAAGGTCTTACCTCTTGTAAGGAATTCTCGAAGTCCTACACATTTATTGAGCAGGTCGGAAAGTTAACCACTAGCTTTTTATACCCCCAAAGATGGAAAGTACTCGGTGAAAATTACCTGGAGAGAGACAGTCCTTATGTCCTCCTTCCTTAGCTTTGTGATTTCAACGCCCTGCTGAAGAACCTCTCTAACTGGACCCATTGATGCATCCTTCACTAAGTTCTTCATGTCAGACCCAGAATACCCTAATGATTATTATTACCAAAATCAGCGCCTTTTTGGTATAATATTAACTTGGGAAATTGACTTAAATAGGACTAAATAGGTCTTGGAATTCCAAAATAGGACCGCTATGTTTTTCTTCCCGAAATAGGAGTCGTTACTGTCATGATTGAAAATACTGTCATTAAGATAGTGAATACTGCCATGTTGAATTACAGTAAATACTCCAATGTTACTCCTATTTCGGGAAGAAAAACATACGAGTCCTAATTTGGAATTCCAAAACCTAATTACTCCTATTTTGGAAAATCTCCCTATTAACTTAACTGATAACATTTTCTATAAAATTGAAAAAAATGGTTAAAATATCTGAAATGGAAGAAAATGACAACTTTACAGTTCTACTCTTGTCAAATATTGTATAAATATAATAACTGCTCTACTCCCCCACCCACTCCCTCCCTAGAGCACCCTCCAACCAAACGAGGACTAAATGTTAAAGAATGTGAGCAAGCAAGGGAAAGATGATTCTTCTATAGGAAATAAAAAGGAGTTGGAGATCATATAATACACTAGCAATGAACAATATACAAACCTTCAGTCAATCTGCAAACAATTTCAATCTCCTCTTTTGAGAGACTAAATAATCCGTCCTTTTCCAAGAGATTTTGGATTATCCATGATCTGGCTTCTAGGGTTCCATAATAACACCAGTGTTAGCAACATATAAGCAGTAGTACTGTTTAAACAGACAGAAAATATATGTGGGTGGACACCACACCTGAGGAAGGGAGTGGAATATACAGTCTTTTTGTAAGTCTCCTCCTTGCAGCCTCATCAAGCTCTTGGGGTCTATTTGTTGCACCTTAATCACATAGAGGAACAAAACGTGTCAAATTGGCTTAGTGGCAATTTGGTAGCAACTTTTTTGGGTTATCAGCTACACGTTTACCAATTACTGATTTATTTAACTGCACAAGCTGACTTGGTTCATAATGAGAAAACAGTAGGCTTCCGATGATTTTTTTCTTCTTAAAATGGTGAAGTTGCTACATATTATTGTATTAGATCATTTCGTTTACTTTTTTCTTTACTTTATCAGTTGTAGAAATTTGACAGCATATTTCCATAACTCAGTCATTTCAGCAACTTCATTAATGTCAACAACAAATTTAGCAATTACAACCAAATTCACTAAAACCAAATGGGCTCTTACAATGAAAAATGAACCAATTATCGATGTTGTAGAAGACTGGGATCTGGCATCTAGTGAGGCTTCATCCGGATTAGACAGGACTTAAGTGTGGGCATAAACCCAGACAGCCAAGGCAAGCCTGGTACCAGGACGAGGATTTTACATTAATGTCTATTTGTTGAAACATTTCATCTTAACCCACAACTTACTACCCTTTTTTACAAATTGTCTCACTTTCCTTTTTGGGTTATTCAAATTACTAGTCTCATTCTTTTTATGGAAATGGGCCTATACAACAAAACTTCATACACCCATTAAATAAAACTACATCACCCATAAAATAAAGCACAGCCACTCAAAAAGTAACTTCACCCTCATCTATATACACTTTACCTAAACTGTGTGATAAAGTTCAAGGAATAATGACATAGATAATACCATTGGCTTTTATGTGGACAAACATAGGACATGATTTTAACTTGGACAAAAAGTGACTACATATTAGTAAATGGACAGAAAGACCCTTTCTTAACCAAGCCCGTCTGCATCTTGCATCCTTCTCTGCACATATCTGCTCTCGAGAACTGTGCACCGCCTCTCATTCATCAGACGCTGCCGGCCTCTCACCGCCAATCAGCATCTATCACCGCCATGTCACGCCACATCCACCTCGATTTATGCCTTGCCATACCTCTGCACTCTACTTTTCCTTCTCTTTCTGTAGGTCATGGCGATGGCGGACAGGTGGCTTTTCACCGGGTATGATCGACGACTCCAAACGAGTTGAAGGGACCAGCGGTGAATTGCAGATGCTATGGAAACAATGCAGATTCGAGTGATGAATGCAGCGAATCTGAGTGGCAGAGAAGGCGGAGGAGGCGGCTTAAGTTTCGAGTGTGGGCGATGGCTAGGGTTCAAATAGGGTGACAGGGCGAGTACAGAGGCGGCGGCTAAGTTTCGAGTGTGGGGACTTGGGGGCAGGGGTTAGGGCAGAAGGTGGGAAAGGGGGCTAGGGGGTGCAGGCAGCAGGTAGGAAATGGGGGCATGGGAAGGTGGCTGGGGAGAGAGGGGCAGAGGTGGTGGCAGTGTAACTGGGCGACCGTCACCGGTGGCAGGTCACTGACCGGCGGCACTCTCTGGCGGTGGCGACAGCAGTGGTCACTGGTGGTGACCCGGGGTGAGAATGTGAGATGACTGTAGCACCGGGTCACTAGGGGCGTCGAGTCACTGGAGCAGTGGTCACTTGAGCGGTGGTCACTGGGATGCCCATATCAGGTCAGTGTCAATGGATATTAGAAGGGTTGATTTATTAATATCCATTAAGGATTTTAATGATTTAAGACCAATGTAGTTACATTTTTGGAAACTAAAAAATGTCTCTTTTTTGTCTATAATCTAGTTTTAGTAATAATTGTCACAAAACCGCAAAGCTCAACTCACTCAATAAATAAAACTCAAACACCCTAGAAGAATCTTCACTCTTCAATAAATACTACTTTAAACTGTGCGCAGAGCCGCAAACCCAACTCAGCCAAGAATTATAAAAAGGGGGGAGTATTAGATAGAAAAGAAATTAGCAGCCACAAATGGTCCTTCGACACGTAGTTCGATTGTATAAACTAGATTCTCCCCCGTGCGATGCACGGATGACAATTTAACAAATAATATCACATTGTTTGTTATAATTAACAGTAGCATCAAAATGTCATCATAATAAAATGTATAAATAATTGAATGTAGAATAAAGTTGAGATATGATAAGTATTCTTAATTTAGGAGAGTTTACAATGTTGTGGAGGAACTCATAATGTTAACATTAGAAAAAGGGACGAACCTATAAATTTTGGAAGACTTCTTTGTAAACAATGTTAGTAGTATGATCAATTTGTTGATCATTCTCATCACAAATCCATATTCTCAAATATTTCCTTTTGGTTACTCTTGACACTTACAACGTAATGTTGATCATGAGCGAAGATTGTTTTTTAGCAATAGTTCAACTTGCGACAAAGGTTATGCTCCTCCGTTGAGTCCGTTATTTATTAGTTCTCATATTCCTTTTTGGGAAGTTTTTTATTATTTGTTTATCCTTCCCTTTTAATAAGTTTTCTTATGAAAATATCTTTATACTCTCACTTTTATTATCTTTCCATTTTTACTATTTACAAATTACTTGATTATTTACTTTTTCATTACTTTCTCTAGTTAATATACTTTCTATTCCTACTTTTTTTCATTTATATCACACAATCTATATTACCCATACTATTATCTTCTTGAAACCCATAAGTATCTAAGAAAACTATTAATTAAGGACGAATACAATTACATTTATTACCTGTTTAGAAGAAATAGAGCAGCTAAAACTTGTAATTTCATAATAGAAAATGTTAAAGTGAACAATTTAGACTCCATGGTCTTTTAAAGCATTACCGATTATCCTTAATATTATTTTTTCTTTTTTATGGCTAATCATTTTTGGCCTAATTTTACGATACATAGGACTGTAGGAGAGGAGTTGAAATATATCAATACTCTCTTTGATAACTTTTTACTTTCTTTCATAGATAAAAAAATAATTTAATACTTTGGAGATGTAAATCATATTGTTGCAATATTGTTAAGCTATTATTTTATATTTATATATGCAATATTGGTGTGATGTGAAAGATAATAAGAAGTTATGGATTTTGATATATTTTTCGTAACATTCAAAGTATGAATAAAAAAGTTACAACACTGTAAAAAACAAAAAGTTTTTTTAAAGTTCTTAATTATTTTTTATTTTTATGTATGCAATATTGGTGTCATATGAAAGAAAATAAGAAATTATGAATTTTGATATATGTTTTGTAACAATTAGAGTACAAATAAAAAAGTTACAACACTTTTAAAATCTAAAATCTTTTTAAAGTACTTAATTATTTTTCTTTTATATATGTAATACTGGTGCCATATGGAAGATAATAAAAAATTATAAATTTTGATATATTTTTTGTAAAACTCGAAGTACAAATAAAAATGTTATACCACTTTAAAAATGTGTTTTGAAAAAAACTTCTAAAAGTGAAGGAAGTTTTACACATTTCCGTAAACATTAATTCTACTAATCAAGGTGTCCCAGCAAAATTTTTGCGTTATTCTGAAATGACCGGTGCAGCATATATGTCAGAAACTTAGCCAATCTCCAAGACTAAAAGCATAGGCACACTAAATGGACTGATGGGTTGCCGCCAATTTTGAAATCAAATGCACCGTGCATGAACTAACTTCGGTCTGCTTTTTTGACCCCCTTACCCATATTATTACCTGTGTTTTTTAGAGGGAACTTGTACATCTTTTTCACGCTGGTTTGTATATAGTATGATTGTCTTGTAACAATTTCAGTAGTAAAGCAATCACCTATAAGCAAAATTTGCTCACTTCCACTGTCAAATCCCTCCATCTCTATAAGAAACTGTGTCTTCAGCCGCCTACTTGATTCATGTTCACCTTCTGATTTGCGCTACAGCCACCACAAGGATTCTTAGCAGGACACTTAGTAGTTAGTGCAAGCAAGCAATATATCTAGGGTATGACAAAACATAGGCTATTAACAATGACAAACATAGTAGTTAATGCAAGCAAGCAATAAATCTCATGCCCTAGATACACCAGCTTGTTTATCTTTTCAGTGAAGGGAGTACCCACAAACCTGAGAAAGCAAGGAATCAATCTCATCAACGAATATGACTGCTGGCTTGAGACAACTAGCAACTCCAAATAATGCCCTCACTAACTTTTCTCCCTCGCCAATCTATAGTGATGAATTTGAAATTTTGAATAAATGCTTTTTGGAAATAAATGTATAGAACTTTGCTTTTCTAGAATTATAACACTCTGGTGATCAAGAATATACTAACCCATTTGCTTGTTAGTGAACTGGCAGATATGTAAAAGAATGTTGCCTTAGCCTCTCCAGCAATAGCTTTCCCTATCATAGTTTTACCAGTTCCCTGATCCATGAGACACTTATGTTATGACAGCTTAGTTGCCTTTCATGTTTTAATCTTTAAGTAAGTCTAAAATGTAACATACAGGTGGACCAAACAGGAGAAGACCCCGGCCTGGAGAACGACATCCACTAAACAAATCAGGGCGCATCAATGGATATATGACCATCTCATTCACAACTTTCTTAGCATGTTCCAACCCAGCTGTAAAAAGTAGAAGTAGACAAGCGGATGGGGACATGGAATTCGAAACTGATCAGCACAAGGAAGCAAATATGTTCATTGATAACCTTACCAATGTCATTCCACCTAACATTGGGATCCCGGTCCATAATCTCATTGCTGACATGTTCAATAAGTCGAGGCTCTAGATTCTTTAGTTTCTCAGGAAGTTCACCATCTGAACCACAAAGCATTTCCAAGCTAAACGGGGAACAAATGAGACAAGTTATGCATTAGATATAGACACTAAAGAACACTATTTTTTTTCTATTCCAATTTTTATCTTTTCTCATCTTTTTTTATCCTTTTATCTTTGTTTATCCTTTTATCTTTTTATCTTTCTTATGTTTTTTATCCTTTTATCTTTTTTTATTTTATATATATTCTTTTTATCCTTTTTATCTTTATCTTATCTTTTTTGTTATCTTTTTTATCATATACGTAGTACTTCATATTATCTTTTTGTTTTTCTTCTCTTTTTATCAATTCATGTTAGCCAACCCCAATATCTTTCGGGACTAAGGCTTGGATGTTGTTGTTGTTGTATGAGATGGTCAAGACATCAAATCGTCTAAATCATATAGAAACTCAACTAACCATCTCCGTGTTGAGTCCTCTAATGCATCCTCTCCCTTCCTCGCATTGCATGAAGTGATATTACCACCACCACCATTACTTCCACTTCCTCTTATTGGTGAAACAAAATTACCACGAATACCACGGCGTGGATTCCCATAAGGTTTTACACCATAACTCTTGTTTGACACAGTGCTAATATTCTGTGGGCACTCTGAAAAGCTAGGTGAGCCATTCAATCCTCGAGTTTGCCTCACATCCATTTCCTATCACAGAGTCACTGAGGAATATAAAGCTCTAAAATATCTTCAATAACAAAAATGCTATAAATGAAGCACTGAGTTATATAAACCTCTATAAAATCTTCAATAATAAAATGCTATAAATGAAGCAAATAAGATCACTTACATGAGGCAAATCATTGACAATTCATCTATATTAAGTTCACATATACAGAGACTAAACAAATTGGTATTTTGATAACAGTTATGTAATATTCTTGACAAACACATGGCACACACATAGATTAAGAGAGACGGAATGGGAGAGAGAGAAAGGAAACCAAAAACTATTTCTCTGTGAAGGCCAATGGTGGTAACATGTCGAGTGAATCTGTGAAATACCATTTTTTTCTCGGGTGGTGATAACTCCTTTGTGAGGATAACCAGTATCAGTTCATGCACTGAACAGGGAAAAGAGAGGCACATGCACACACATAAAGAGGAGAGACAATGGGAAAGAGAGAGAAAGTGATCCAAGAAAAGGGACTTCTCTAGTTCTCGGTGAAAATTAATGGTGGTAACATGTGAAGTGGAGCTGTGAAATACTCCCTCCGTTCCTATTATATCTTCCAACTTTCTTTTTTCATCCGTTCCAATTAAACTTCCACTTTCCCCATTTGGTAAAGAATTTGTGGTTCACAACATTTCTTACACATTTCTCTCTCCTCTGCACAACTCTCCACCACACAATACCTACTTTTCTTAAATTGTGTGTCAATGAGAAACGGGAGATAAAATGGGAACGGAGGGAGTACCAATTTTGATCTGGCAGTAACGAATCCCCTTTGAGAAGAATAAGTATCAGTTCCTTCATTGCACAAGGGAGATTTCACGTTTTTGTTTCTTTGCCCAAAGTTTTCCATGTGCAATTGTTTCATTTTGAGACTTCTCCCAACAGGTATTTCTACCTCTTCATCTTCAATCCCCAATGCCACGCCATGATCCAATGAGTTATGATTCAAATGAATCTTTTCTATAAAGTGAATATTTGAGCTGTTATCTTTATCGTACGTCTTATGCTTAAACCTGGAGCCATCCCCATAACTTGCCAGAACTGGTGATTTTGAGATCTTGCTAGACAAATTCTCCTGCCTAGTATGAGCATCATTCTGTGAGAAATTACATGAGTTTATATTAAAATACAGATGCTTGTGTGAGTTAGAAATCAGATACAATCAAAAGAGGAAAAATTACAAAAGGGAAACATGAAGTTATATATAAGTTGTGTACTGAACATACAAAATTAACTTAAAGTACAATTTGCTAAAGAAAGAAGGCCAATAATTTTTTAATACCGTTTTGTGATGAGCTATTCCCTCCGAGATTTGCAAAAGAGCGTGAAAGTACTTCGACCTTTTAATCTTATCAATGCCAATCTCTCTATCGGTAAAAATGTGGCCTGGATCTCTCCCTGCCTGTTCAAAAGCTTGGCTGAAGGTAAACTAAGCAGTTAAGTAATTGTCCAGTAAGAGTAAGCTAAAAGAAATAAAATCCAGAAATGTTATTAAGTTATCTACAAAATCAGATTCCATATGCATCACATGCCATGTATAACTAATGCTCTCACATTTGATTAAAAGATACACTTCGGTCTCCATTAATGGACTTTTAATAAGCGGGCACACAACTCCTACAGTAATAATCATCATTTGCTCCTTACTTAACACAAGAAACTAGTTAAATTTGTAATTTATCAAGGACAATCCATCCATTTCCGATATATTTGAATAATTTCTCCTTGAAATTGAAAATTTGTACCGACTCCTTTAATAGTCAATTACATACAGAAAGGTATGTCAAGCCCTTGCCGATCAAGTTCAGAGCTTGATTCACAAGCGCCTACACGGCTACACCAATTCATACAACAACTAGGCTGGAACTTGGGTAAAATGTGGTGAATATTCATAATCTAGTGACTATTGGAAGCAACTATTGAAAAGGTAGTAAAGTTGAGTTATATACTTCCTCCACACTTTTTAGTTGTAAAGTTTCCAGTTTCATATTTGACTAAGGATACTTCGTATATTTCATTCCTTATTAATAAAAAGTTGAAAACTTGAGAAATTTAACAGTATTTTAAAAAAAAATCTAATACATTAATAAATAATAAAATATAGTTTTGAATAGAGTAAAATTTAATTGCATCTATTTAATAAGTAGTATATTACTATATACTCATAATAAGCAATTACATTGATGCGTCCGTACCGATCAGATTCACTCATCAACTTGTGGCGAGCGGCGTCCAGGTTCGATAAGGCTTCGCATCGAATTGGGCGAATGAAGACTTCGTCTACGTCTGTATTGGAGCGGGAATCGAGAAAGCCGATGAGGGCCAATGTCAGTATTTGTGCGGAGCTAAAATGGTGCATCTCGAGAGCCTGTCCAGCTCCGAAGACAAGTGATTGGAGCCTCTTGAGGTTGATATCCACTTCCTTCCTCCAGCATGCTTCTGACATCTCTTCCTCCATTTTCTGCTGCATTGTCTCAGAACTCGATACGGCTCCCGCAACAGGCGCCATTTTATTTCATCTTTCAGTCCATAGCCTTCCTGTAATTATTCAATAATTCCTTTTTAGTTTGGAAAAAGAGGTCGCCTTGTACAATCATCACATGCCTATATACTTAAAAAAACAATCAAGCAGGTCCAATCACATGTAACCATTCAGTATCGGTTCCGTTCTTGTTAAAATTTCATGGAACTATATTAACAATTATATGGGCTAAATTCGCTTTCGTTCTAGTTAAAAATTTAGTTATTAAATTCGCTTCGGTTCTAGTTAAATTCGGTTCGCATCTTACATGTTTGATAAAAATTTATAATCCTCCTAAAACGAACATATTTTACCTTCAGCTACATAAAAAAATTCAAATCTCAAATAATGAAATTATGTCCAATACATTATACATACATGATATTCCAATGTTTAAATATCACAAAAATATCCACGTGCAAACAGTATGTTTGAACATATTAAAAACATAAAAATTTAAAATAGGCATCAACTATCAAGCAAAAAGGTTTAATAGCTTCAAGATACACATCCAATAGCAGATAGTTCAACCTCAAAATAATATTCGTATACTAGTAATGCACCATAAGTAAAAAGTACGTAGTAATTGTTGGGGAAATGTGTTAAAAATTGCATTAAATGGTCATTTTGGGGCAATTATTTGAGTGGGGTCCACTTCCGATTTGGGTCGGGTCAAAGTGGTTTCGGCTTGTCCTTGTTAAGGGCTACAATTCGATATGTGGTACACTCAAAACGGATAACGGGTGAATGAGAAATTGATTCTCGAAGTTCACTCGTTGAAATGGAAAAACTGGGAAAATGATGGGTTTCTAGTGTGTTTTATCCCACACCGAAAAACTCAAGGGATTTTCACCCCCTTATAAAGGGAAGCCTCTTTTAAGGAGTTAAGATTCCTAAAGGTAAAGGCTCTCTCTTACGCGTAGGGGGGTGCCGATCAAATCCCGAAACGGAGAAGAAAAACCGCGACTCGTGTGCGCAGACGACCTGCGGACACGAATGTCGTCCGAAAACCTATCATTCAAAGATACGGTCTAATTTTTGTTTCTTCCCGTAACGTTTTGTTTTCCCAGGACCAGAGTTGCTCGAACTCTGGTGGCTTCGTACCAGAGACGCTCCAACTCTGGTGGCTTCGCACAGAGACGCTTCAACTCTGGTGGAGGTATTCTGGTAGCATCAGAGTTGCTCCAACTCTGATGGGGGTATTCTGATCGCGCACCAGAAGTGCTCCAAGCCATTACAGCCATTAAATGCCCAACGTTCTTTTCTTTTAATGCAGCGTTAAATGGACAGTTTATGGATGATTCAATGCCCAACGGACTGGTCATTGATGTCCAACGTTCAGGTCCATTAACACCTCATTTAACACACAACAAATCCTCCTATAAAAGGCTGGCAGGTGCTTTGCAACAAACACACGGTTTGACAACACACAATACATTCCTCACGTTTTCTTGAGCTAAAAACACTTCCAGCTACTCTGCAAATTCCTTCTGTGTTCATACTTGGTTCTCATTCGCTGGAACTCTTGTTTGTGTGCTGAAACATTAGTTCGTAGTCATCGTATCCTGGGAAACGATTTTTGCAACGCTCCTAGCACCGTGGGAGGCAACAAATACGTTTTAAGGACATCGTGCGTAGCACGAGCTTTGACTAATTCTGCTTCATCTCCTTTCTTGTTTTTCTCTAGTCATTTTATTTAATTAATTCATTTTAATTATTTCCTTTATTTTCCGAAACACACCCAACAATCTTAAAACGTATTTGCTGATTATTCTACTGTGGTAAACAATCTTAAATCGTAGTTTGTCACTTTGGTGAACGAACTTATTTTTTTTGTGTTTTCGGAAAACGTTACGAAATGAAAATGACTTCTCAAGAAAACGAGATTGGTGTTGGGCAGATTGTTCTGAACGACAATCACTCTGAAAGCGGAGCACCGATGAACAATAGTTCACAACGCGGTGCATCTGCTTTGGCCAACCAAAGGGCTATCCCTATGGTGACCGTGCCAAGCAACTCTGTGGAGAAACCCGAGAAATTCAATGGATTAAACTTCAAGAGGTGGCAGCAAAAGATGCTCTTCTATCTCACTACTCTCGGTCTTGCGAGGTTCTTGACCGAGGATGCGCCAATAGCAACCGGGGGTGAGGTGGATGCGCAATCTTTCAACGCGGTTGAGGCATGGAAGCATTCAGACTTCCTTTGCCGAAACTATATGTTGAACGGGCTGCATGATGCTTTGTACGACGTATATAGCAAACTAGCTACGGCTAAGGAGCTATGGAATGCTTTGGACCACAAATATAAAAGCGAGGATGCCGGCGCAAAGAAATTTGTTGTTGGTCGATTCCTTGATTTTAAAATGATGGATTCGAAGACGGTCTTGAGTCAAGTTGAGGAAATGCAAATGATCTTCAACGAAATTCGAGATGAAGGAATGACAGTTAGTGAGTCTTTCCAAGTGGCGTCAATTATCCATTTATTGCCGCCGGCTTGGAAGGATTTCAAGAACTACCTTAAGCATAAGCCAAAGGAAATGAACTTGGAGCAATTGATCCTCCGTCTGCGGATTGAAGATGATAACCGGAAGAACGATGGGAAACTCCCAATCGTTAACGGCGCCAAGGCCAACGTGGTGGAGCATGAAAAAGGCTCCAAAAATAAAGGGAAGAGCAAGCTCGGTCCCAAGGGAGGCGTTTCCAAGACGAAGTTCAATGTAAAATGCTTCAATTGCAACAAGAATGGACACAAGTCCTCGGATTGCAAGGCACCACGGAAGAAGAAAGACTCCCAAGTCAACTTGGTGCAAGGTGGGCAAAAGGATGAAGACATCATCCTAACGGCTGTGGTTACGGAAGTCAACCTCGTTGGATCCAATTCCAAGGAGTGGTTTATGGACACCGGTGCAACCCGGCATATTTGCTCAAACCGGGAGTTATTCACAACTTTTGAGCCATCAAATGGTGAGAAAGTGTGGATGGGTAACTCGGCTCATTCCGCGGTTGAAGGCGTGGACAAGGTGGTCCTGAAGATGACTTCGGGCAAAGAGCTGACTCTCAACCAAGTGCTGTTTGTTCCGGAAATACGTAAAAACCTGATTTCCGGTTCGTTGTTGAACAAGCATGGCTTCCGCATTGTCTTTGAGTCGGACAAACTAGTTTTGTCTAAATCGGGAATGTATGTGGGCAAGAGGTATGCAGTTGATGGGCTGTTTAAGCTCAATGTAATGAATATTAATAATAATAATAATAATAATAATAATAATAAAATCCCTTCTGCTTACTTGATTGAGTCTTTCAATGTGTGGCATGGTAGACTAGGACATGTTAATTTTAATTCTATACGTAGATTAATTAACATGGAACACATTCCTAAATTCACAATTGATGTGAAGCACAAATGTGGAGTTTGTGTAGAGGCAAAACTAGCGAAAACGTCTTTCAAATCAGTTGAAAGAAAAACGGAACCACTTGAATTAATTCATAGTGACGTTTGTGATTTTAAATCAATACAAACACGTGACGGTAATAAATATTTTATTACCTTTATCGATGATAGCACTCGCTATAGCTACGTTTATTTATTAAAAAATAAACACGAAGCAATCGATAAATTCATTCTTTATAAGAATGAAGTGGAAAACCAACTTAATCGACGGATTAAGACGGTTAGGAGTGATCGAGGTGGTGAGTATGAAGCACCAATTGGTGACTTTTGCGCTAGTGTGGGTATAGTACAAGAACGTACCGCACCCTATTCACCTCAATCAAACGGTGTTGTCGAACGAAAGAATCGCACATTGAAAGATATGATGAACGCGATGCTAGTAAGTTCGGGCTTGCCACAAAATATGTGGGGTGAAGCAATCTTGACAAGCAATTACCTTTTAAATAAGGTTCCCCGGAAAAAATATGATAAAACTCCGTACGAGTTGTGGAAGGGCAGACGGCCTTCCTATCAATATTTAAAAGTGTGGGGGTGTCTTGCTAAGGTGCTTGTACCAACACCTAAGAAAATAAAATTAGGTCCAAAAACGGTGGATTGTATTTTTATTGGATATGCACAAAATAGTAGTGCGTATCGGTTTTTAGTGTACGATTCGAATAATCCGGATGTACATACAAACACAATAATTGAATCAAGGAATGCTTCATTCTTTGAAGATGTATTTCCATGCAAGTCCAACGAAGGGCCTAGCATTTCAAAACGAACATTTGACGTAGCTATGGAAAATACTAGCGAGGGCTCCGGAGAAGAACCCGAACCCAGACGTAGCAAACGTGCTAGAATTGAAGAATCCTTCGGACCGGATTTTCTCACCTACCTGGTAGAAGTTGACTCGGATATTCTAACATGTATGGTAGAAAATGAACCAGATTTTCTAACATTTTTGGTAGAAAATAAACCACGAACTTATACGGAAGCCGTGACGTCTACCGAAGGTCCTATGTGGAAAGAAGCCATCAAAAGTGAGGTGGATTCTATCCTTAAAAATCACACATGGGAATTGGTTGATCTTCCTCCGGGAAATAAACCTTTGGGATCCAAGTGGATTTTTAAACGGAAAATGAAACCTGACGGTTCCATCGATAAGTACAAGGCCAGACTTGTAATCAAAGGATACAAGCAACGTGAGGGCCATGATTACTTTGACATGTATTCTCGTGTGACGAGAATAAATTCCATTAGGATGATACTAGTAATTGCCGCATTGCGGAAATTGGAAGTTCATCAAATGGACGTAAAAACTGCTTTTCTAAATGGCGATATAGACGAAGAAATCAATATGGAACAGCCCGAAGGCTTTCGTGTTCCAGGACAAGAAATGAAAGTGTGTAAATTAATTAAATCATTGTATGGATTGAAACAAGCCCCTAAACAGTGGCACGAAAAGTTCGATCATGCAATATTAATTAATGGGTTTAAAATAAACGAAAGTGACAAATGCGTCTATGTGAAGAGCACGGTAGACGGCTATGTCATTTTATGTTTATACGTGGATGATATACTCATCGTGGGTAGCAATAATCTAATGATTAATTCTACCAAAAGCATGTTAAACTCTAAATT